ATCCGTTTGCTCCTAAACCGACACTGAACTTTGTCCTGGAAAAATAATGACAAACGTGACCCTGAACTTCCTTTTCACGACCTTATTTTGATGGTTGCTGGGCGAGACCGTGACCCACAGTGGACGTGCCCGAGGCCCTGAGGGCAAGGGCCAGAAGGGGGATCAGCACGTCTGTCAGCTTTAATCGTGCTGTTCTTGCGACGGGTCGTGTGGGTCCCTGAGTGTAGGGATGGAGGAGGGACCGGGCGCCGTGAACCAGGAGAGGCCTGCGCAGGGGACGCCGGGGGCTCCCCCAGTCTCCTGACCCCCCTCCCCGCAGGCCCTGGTATCAGCTTCCTACAAGTTCTTCTTAAGAGTTTAATCCATCAGAGCGAGAGGGACCCGGCTACTCACACGGCTCACTGCACACACGCAAGGGCACATGTTTCTATATTTTAAATAGGCCTCTGACTTCAGAGGGAGGAAGGGAGAGGGAGAGAGAGAAACGTCACTGACGAGAGTCACAGGTCGGCTGCCTCCTGCACACCCCCCGATGGGGATCCAGCCCACAACCCGGGCCTGCGGCCTGACCGGGAATCGAACCCTGACCGCCTGGTTCATGGGCCGACCCTCACCCGCTGAGCCACACGGGCTGGGCCAAGGGCACATCCGATTCCTTCTCATTCTGGCTTCACTCGGAAATTTTACTTAACCTGCATCCTTGTCTTGGAGGCTTTTCTCCATCAGTGGACAGGAGCTGCCGGGTGCCGGGGACCAGGCTCCGGGGGGAACACCTGCGGCTCCTGCAGGACCGAGGGGCCGTTCCTCACGGTCGCTGAAGGCACCGGTCACATTTTTCTTGCAACCCAGGGGAATATGCACGAAGTAGGAATTTTAATAAAGAGGCGGCCTTGGTATATGATTCTTGATAAACATTCGGTCTGAGCCAGAAGGTCAGAGGCGGCCTGGGGTCTGGGGGCCGCCCTGCGGCCCTGCGCCCCCAGCTCCCTGCTCTTTGGAGGCGCATTAGCAAGGCGGGTCTCTGGCTTGTGGTGAGACTGGGAGGCCTCCCCTGGGACAGACACCCGTCCGTCAGTCCCTCCCTC